CACCCAGGCTTTCCTTTCCACTCCCCTCTTCTTAATTCCCTGACACCCTGTGCCCTCTCCCTCATTCCTTCCTCTGCGGGCCCCTCTCACCCTCTCCATGCCCCTAGACTGGACACAAAAGGAATCCAAAGTCCAGACTCCTTCCTCTTAAATTTGGTGATGGTGGGAGGGGGAGAAGACTAGAGGGGCAGTGGAGGAAATTAGAAACCTGTCTAAGGAGACTTAGATAAGGATCTCTGAGGCTAGGGAGGCTCACCACTTCCTGCAGTTGTTGTTCAGTCGTTTTTTCAGTCGCGTCTCCCTCTTCGAGGCCCCATTTGGAGTTTTCTTGGCAAAAATATTGTAATGGTTTCCCATTTCCTTCTCCAGCTCATCTTACAGATGAGGAAACTAAGGCAACCAGGGTTAAGTGACTTGCTTTGGGTCACAGAGCTAGTATATATCTGGGGATATCTGAGGAACTCAGGTCTTCCTGACTCTAAGCCTGGCTCTCTATCCACTGAACCACGTAGCATTTTACAGATGAGGAAACTGAGGCCCAGAAAAGTTAAGTAAATTGTTTGAGGTCACTCAGGCAGTAAAAGCAGAAGAATCAGAATGTGGCTCCAAGGGGTGGTTCTCTCATACAATCCCCTAGCTATCTTCTCCCTTCTGCATTATTTCTTCTTTCCCCTTTCTCTCCCTCTTTCCTTTTTAGTTTGTTCTGAGTTCTGGGTACAGAAATAGAGAGGGATAAATGTGGAAGTGAAGATACATTAAAAACTGGATGTAGGGATAGGGATTGGACTTTAGAGTTCATCAATGCAGGCACTCTCCCAGAAGAGGGGAATCCCTCCACTGATGTAGGTTGGCACCTTCTCTACAATCTAGAACCTTAGAGAGCTGCCAAGGGCACTGAGAGGTTGGGAGATTTGTTCAGGGTCACACTGTTAGGATGCTTATTTATCTGGCACCCAATGTCTTCCAAAGAAGCAGTGTGCAGGGGAGAGAGTCAGGTTCCAAGTCTGGTGCAAGACTTGGGACACACTGCCCTGCATGTCTATGTCTATGTATATGTGTATGTACACATATGTATATATGTATATGTATGTGGGTATATGTATATGTGTATATGTACATATACATATGTATATGTATATATAGAAGAAGAGAAGAGAGATAGAGACAGAGATCAAGAGATAGACAGAGAGACAGACAGAGACAGAGAGAGGAAAGAGACAGAGGAAAGAGACAGAGACAGAGAAACAGAAAGACAGAGACAAAGAGAGACAGAGAGAAAGAAGAGAGAAGAGAAAAAGAGACAAAGAAAAGAGAGAGAGAAAGAGGGAGAAGAGGGAGAGAGGGAGAAAGAGAAAGAGGGAGAAGAGGGAGAGAGGGAGAGAGAGAGGAGAGGGAGAGAGGGAAGGGGAGAGAGAGAGAGAGAGAGAGAGAGAGAGAGAGAGGAATATATGATGGGAAATGAAGGTGGTGTAAAAATATACAAGGTCCATAATATTTATTCTATATTTAAAAATATGAAAATTAGATATTGGATTAAACCGATCCTAGGGTCACAAGGACACCCCCCTTTGTCTGTGTTCTCTGCTTCACAAGCTAGGTTCTGGCCCCTGGCCCCTTGGGTCTCCGGTCAGTTCCTGTTCTTCATCTCACCAATTTGGATCAGGCCGTGCTGTGGGCCTGAGCCCTATCCAATTTTGGAGGCTCCAGAAAAATGTGTATTTTTCTAAGAGAAAATTCATTAATAAAGCCAGATGTGTGTTTGTATGCTGGAGACAATTGTTTACTTAAAAATATGTAAACTAAGAAATGTAGTTTTCTTTTTTTCCCTCTGTTTTTGTAATATGTGTTGAGAGGCTGGTTTGGAGGTGGATACTTTCCTCTTCTTATAGTGGTACCAAGAAGCTGACCCCAGGCTCTGCTGAGCTCTGGTCCGATGAAAGTGGCGCAATAGGCAGAGCCCTGGGTTCAGATTCCTCTTCTAGCCCTTACCCTTTGTGTGACAGTGGACCAGTCACTTAACCTCTCTGGCCTCCATGTCCCCATCTGTAAAATAGGAGAAGTGTACTAAGTGATCTCAGAGGGGGTCTCTTGTAATTTTAAAGCCATGATGCTACCATCCCTGTAGGCTACCATCCTATGAGGAAAGCCCCCTTTGGGGTCTGCTCCTTTGGACTGTGGAGAAAGAGGGGATGACTTTGATTCAGGCCCCAGCCTCTTCGACCTGCCTCTGCTGGGCTTGGTCCACTTGGCTGCCCATCCTCACTGCCCTATACTTATGAACTAGATTGAACCAAGAGGCAGCCAGGTGATGCTTCCCAGGCCTTGTTGGACGGCACCAAGCTTCTCAGAAATGGAATCAGGGCAGCAGGAAGAGCAGTAGTTCGGCAGGCAGAGGCCCCAGACTGAAAAGTCTGTCTCTGTTACTTCTCTGTAGGACCTTGGGCATGTCACCTCACCTCCCCTCCCCTCAACTAGAGTGTGAGCCCTGTGAGAGCAGGGACCATCTTTGCCTTTCTTTCTGTCCCAGGCCTTATCCCAATGCCTGGCACACTTGGGTTGTTGTTCAGTCATTTTCAGTCGTGTCCAACTCTCCGTGACCCCATTTGGGGTTTTCTTGGCAAAGAGATTGGAGTGGTTTGCCATTTATTTCTCCAGCTCATGTTACAAATGAGGAAACTGGGGTAATCAGGGTTAAGTAATTTGCCCAGGGTCACACAGCTAGGAAATGTCTGAGACTGTCTTTGAGCTCAGGTTTTCTTGACTCCAGACCTGGCAGTCTATTTACTGTGCCACTTAGTTGCCCACCTGACACACAGTAAGTGCTTAATAAATGCTTGTTGACTATTCTTGACCTCTCTGAGAATGAGCTTTCTTTTCCCCAAAGTAAAGGGGGCAGATCAGAAATAAATGTCTTTTTGAGGGGAGGCAGGAATGGACTCCTTTGGCAGCTCCATGAGGTCTATGACTCCTGGCCAAACCAAGTTTGTAAATGCATAAAATAAAAGAAAGAAGAAAACTAACATTTATTAACTCCCTAGTTTGTGCCAAGCACTGTGCCTTTAAGCACTTTATCTCATCTCATATTGATTGCTGCCCTTACGGCCCTCTTTTCCCCACTCCTTTGGAGATAAACAACTGTTAACTGTTTAGATGGAGCACTTGGATAAGCAGCCAGGTTAAAAGAGACAGTAATTCCCTTTTAGGATTCTCTGGCAGGGCCTTCACATACCTTATACCCTCTCCATGGCCTCTCAGGTTCTGATCAGGCTTGTGGGAGACAATCCTACAACATCACTTGGAGAGGGGCAGAGTGGATGTAGTCTGGAAGACCTGAATTTGAATCCTTCCTCACACATTTAATAGGTTAACCTTCCAGCCTTGATTTCCCTACCTGTAAAATGGGTTTAGTAGTAGTACTTCCTTCACAGAGTAGTAACACTCAAATGAAAAGTGTGTAAAGTTCTCCATAAATCTTTAAAATGCTATATTAAATGTGAATTAATCATGATTAAAATTACATCATATCTGCATCCATGCCCCTCTCTCCTTATACTCTCTCCCTCTTCCCCCGAGCCTTCCCAAGTTGGTGCATTTTAAAATTACAGACTGATTAGACCCTCTCTTAGAGATTAAACCACTGGATCTCAGGTCCAGAACTGGAAGGGGTCTCTGAGGCCTTGAAGTCCAATCTCATTTTACATTTGAGGAAACTGAGACCAAGAAAGGTTAAATGAGTTATCCAGGGTAGCATAGTAAGTAAGTGCCTGAGGCAGGATTCTAACTCCAATCTTCTGGCTCCTATTCCTGTGCTTTCTCCAGTATGTCCTGCTGTCTCTCCACCCCCTCATTTTACAGATGGGGAAACTGAGGCCCCAAGAGGGTAAGTGGGTAGCCCACAGTCCTCTAGCCAGTGAGTGATAAGGTCAAGATTAGAACCCAGTTTTCCTGACACCCTGGACTACACTCTCTCCCTCACCCTCATTACCTCCTTCTTTCTTTTTCCAAGATATTCAGCATCATTACAACTCAGTTCATGCCCTTCAAGGAGGCACAGGAGTGTATGGTAGGAGAGTACAAGGTGGATGGGCAATGCTGTCCCACCTGCCATCCAGGTAAGTCAGAAAGTTTCCTTCTCTAGGACAAATCACTCTCTTCCTCTGGCAAATGCCTGCTTATTCCAGGCTCTCTTCCTTTCTTCATGTATCCATTTGAATTCCAGAACCATAAAATCTCAGAGCTCAGAAGGGCCATGGAGGGGCATCTCAGAGCTCAGAGGGGCCATGGAGGGCATCTAGGAGCTTAGCAGAAAGATGGAGGGGCATCTAGCCTGATCTTTTCCCCAACATAAGAATCTCTTCTTGAATACTTTAGGAATGGGATGCTTACTACCTTATAAGGCAGCTGTTCTTATTGATGGACAGGACAAATTTATTCAGCCAACAGGCTTTCATTGAATGCCTCTTGCATGCAGAGTTTAGAGTTAGTTGTGGTCTAAGGCTATAAAGCATTTAATGCAGGACTGTCTGGGCTGGAAGGAGGACAGTTGGGTGGTCATTGAGGTTAGAGAGGAAAAGGGAGAAGTCCCCCAGGGCACATCTCTGATTTCCTCTGCCTTCTCCATGGAGTTCAGAGCCAGGTGGGACCTAGGACACTTATTCAGCAAATGCTGATGCTGGAGAGACTTGTCACCTTTGTCTAGATCCCTGATTCCATTCAACTCATCATAATTCCCTGTTCCTGGCCCTTGGACCCTTCATGCCACTCCCTCATCTGTGCATTTTTCTGCATAATGAGGGGCCCCTTATGTCTGGAATGCCTTCTTTACCTCAGCCTTGTGGAACTCCTGAATGCCTTCAACAGAAAGCTCAGGTATCACCTCTCCAGAAGTTCTTTTCTAATTCTCTCTCATTTTTTAAAAGTAGTGTTTATTTTTAACATTAATTTAAAAAGATTTTTTGAGTTCTAAATTCTCTCCCTCAGCCCTTCCCCTACCCATTGAGAAGGGACACAATAAGATGATATCAATTACACGTGTGAAGTCAAGCAAAAAATAGTTCCATATTAATCATATTGCAAAAAAAGCAAGAAAAAGAAAATGAAGAAAAATATACTTCATTTTGCACTAAGAATTCACCTGATTTTCTCTTTCTCTGTCTCTTCTCCCTCCTTCTCTTCCTCTGTCTCCTCTTTCTGTCTCTTCTTGTGTCTGCCTCTGTATCCTCTTCTCTTCTCTCCCCCACCCCAAATCACTCTATGTATTTGGTATGAATTTGTATTTATTTATCTCTCTGAGTATTACATTCCCATGCTAGAATGTAATCTCCTTGAGGGCAGAGACTGTGTTTTTCTTCTTCTTTTTATCCAGAAGAACAAACTTGTGCGTTGAAGATTTATTGTAGTTCAATGTCTGATCTTTATAATCCCATCTGGGGTTTTCGTGCAAAGATACTAGAGGGATTTGCCATTTTCTTTACAAGATCATTTTAACAGACGAAGAAGCTGAGGTAAACAGGGTTAAGTGACTTGGCCAAGGTCACACAGCTAATAAGTGCCTGAGGTCAGGTTTGAACTCAAGTCCTCCTGATTTCAGACCTGGTGCTCTGTCCACTGTGCCACCTAGCTGATCGGATCAAGCGTTACAGAAATAAAGCACTTAATAAGTTTCTGTTGTATTTCATTGCCTGCTGAGGCCTTGGGAATGTTGTTCTGAATAAAGCCTAAAGCAAACAAACTTTGATTCTGTATCTTGTACCTCCAACTTCACCCCCCTTAAGACCCACCCTCCCCTACTTTGTGTTTTCCCTTTTCCCCCATGGCAGTGCCCATCGAGGTCAGACTAGATGGGGCCTAAGATTCCGGACCTGCCTTGACCTAAATTTACTGCACATCGGGGTGGGATGGGATCTCAGGTACCAGCCTGACTGCTGGAGCTCCCTCTCACTGCCTGTGTGACCTTGGGCCAGTCACTTAGTTTCTACATCTATAAAACAGGGGCATAGGACTAGGTGACTTAGAAGTCTTCTGTGTTCTGAAGTTGTCCTATCTCTGAATCCTGTGTTCTGAGGTCCTTCCTAGCTCTGACATTCTAGGTTCTAAGCACTCTCCCAGCTCTGACATTAAGGCTCATCCCTGCTCTGACAGTCTACGTTCTGAGATCCTTCTTACCTCTGACATTCTCTGTTCTAAGAGCCCCCCTACTTCCAACATTCTGTATTCTAAGATTGCCCTTCCACCTCTGAATTCTAGGTTCTGAGGTCCCTCCTAGAGTTCTTTATAATTTTGACACTCTAAGTGCTTGTTCTGAAGTCCCTTTCAGTTCTGACATTCTGGGTTCTAAGGTCCTATGGGTTGGGGTACGAATGTGTACTATCCTAATTTTCATAGCAAACCATCCTAAATTTCATGGGTGGCCTTGGTAGCTTCCTGGGTCTGGGCTAGGGTGTGCATATGGTAGCATCAGGGTAGTATGAGGCGGGGAGAGTGAGGCTGGAGTGGAGTGTCTTCTGCAGGGAGGTAGCCTGTGCCTTGTTCTTGATGCTGACTCTTTAATACCATTAGGTTACAGGGTTCAAGAGACATGCAGTATAATAACAGGCACCACGTGTGTGCCTTGTGATCCTGGGACCTACACAGCACACCAGAGTGGCCTGAAGGACTGTCTCCAGTGTAAAGTCTGTGACTCTGGTAAGGAGCGTTTCAGAGGCCTTGGGGTCAGCTAGGATCCTGGATCTTATCCAAAATATGTCCTCTCCTGAGTTCTGATCTGAGTCCTCTAGTTTCCCTGGAAAGTGGGAGCTGGACCCAGAGAAAGTCTTCAGTCTTGGGCCTACCCAGACAAGATGGGGTGGGGTTAAGTCGACGACACAGAGAGTTGGAGCTGGACCAGATTAGGAAGAGAGTCAGTGAGAGTGCTGTGCTGGTAGGTGGGAGACTTGGGTTCCATTCCAGGCGTTTCTTTGTGCGACCTTGGACAATCACGTCCATTCTATGGACCTCAGTTTGCCTATCTGTAACATGAGGCACTTGGACTAGTTCCTTAGTTTCTAGGGCGTGGTATTTTTCACCTAAGAAACACAGGATAGTTTATTCACACAACCCTAGAACACAGACTATCTAAGCTGGATGGGACCTCAGAACAGAGTCCTTAAAATGTCTAGGATTCTGGAGAAGGCTATCAGCAGAGCTGGTCCTTAAGAACTTGTGAAAGAGGTTGAGTTTGTCCCTAGAGCCCTGCAAACACCATCAATGCACCTGTCTACACCTTCCTGACCTCTAGCCATTGGAGTAGGAGGGTTGTCTCATGACCTGGTGTTTCCTCCTGGCTGCCCAAAACCTCTCCCTATAACCCCCAGCTAGGCTTGTCCTCCCCAGCCATGCTCTGGCATTTCTAATTACCTCTCCATCTCTCTGCTCTCTTCTGATGATTCCCCTGCCTTCAGTTGCCTGCCGGGGAGGAATTATGCTAAACAATTAATTCACACTAGAATGTGGATAACTGATGATGTTGCCCTTTCTTACGGTATTTAAAAGGTAGGTTCTTGTTCACTTAAAGGAATGAATTTCTAAAGATGAGTTTTCACCACAGTGATGGAGGATGGTTTTCAAGAACGAAGGACATCCCCTCCCCACGATCCTACCCCACTTTAGCCCTGAAGCTCAGGTGGGTCAGGGCTACATCAGTCTGGAGAAAGGGGTGTGTATCCCTGTTGGTGGGGGGATGGCAGAGAGAGAAGGCAGGTGAATGATGGGTGGTGGAGCTGGCCCTGCTGCCCAGCTCATCTACTTTGGCCCTTAATATTCTGGAACTTTGACTTCTCTATTTGAATTGGCTGTTCTGCTTAACTGGGAAATCTGCTTAAGCGTGTCAAATCTCTTGACAGTGTAAAGTCCTGGGGACTCTCCTTGTTCCTGCTCCCCCGTTTCCCCTTTCCTTCTCACCCCAGGCACAATGCCTGCTCCCCTCAGAGTCTCTCCCCTCCCTAGCCCCTATGGAAGGGATCCCAAGATTACAGATCCAGAGTTGGAAAGGACCATACAGGACCCTCATTTTACTGAAGAAACTGACCCCAGAGAAGTTGTGACATGTCCAAAGTCACAAGGCAGCAAATATTAGAGTCAGGATTTGAATTTAGTTCTCATGAATGCAAATTAAGAACTTGCTCACAGATTTTCTTCTTTCCCTTGTTTAGTCTCAGGCACATCTCTTTTTAGAGTTTGAAAAGGTTTTCGTCCCCAATATTGACATCAGGTAATGGACCTGGAAGAGTCCTAGATGAGAAGTCAGAGACCTGGGTTCAAATCCCAGCTCTGCCATTTACTATCTGTATGATGTTGGGCAAGCCAGTCAAGAAATACTCAGTAAACACCTACTATGTGTCAAGCACTGGGCTGAGTCCTGGGGATACCAAGAAAGACCCTGGAGAAGCTCACAGTCTAATGGGGGAGACACCATGAAACAACTCTGTACAAACATGACATAGGCAGGATAAAGTGGTGATAATATCAGAGGGAAGGCAGTAGCCTTAAGGGAAATCAGGAAAAAGTAACTAACTTTTCTGGGCTTGCATTTGTTTATCTTTAAAATGAGAGGGTTAGGGGGCAGCTAGGTGGTGCAGTGGATGGAACTCAGGACTTAGAGTCAAGAGGACCTCAGTTCAAATCCAGCCTCAGACACTTGACCCTTACTAGTTGTGTGACTCTGGGCAAGTCACTTAACCCCGATTACCTAGCCAAAAAGAAAACAAAAATGAGAGGCTTAGATGCAATAACAAATCAGGTTCCTTCCAGCTCTAAATCTATTCTCTATGCATTTGACTAGGAGACGGGCTCTGGTAGACAAGTGGTACAGTGGGGAGAGCGTTGGGTCTGGAGTCAGGAAGACCTGAGTTCAAATGTGACCTCAGATGCTTCTAACTTTATGATTTTGGAGAAGAAATCATACTCCCAATGAGGTCCTCAGCTAGTTGGGGGGCGGGCTGGGGCTGGGGGGTGGAAATACCCAGCAATGTCTTCAGTCTCAGCTGCATCTCACAGAAAGCCACCTGTCTCTGCAGGGATTCCCCTCTTGCCAAGGGCAGGTCATCAGGGAATAAGAGGGGCAAAGCCTGCATTAATGTACCTTATCATGACAGTGGAGGTACCAGGAACACTTTCTCTGCTCCCTCCCACCTGCTATTTCTGCTTCTGCTGACTTAGAACGGGGACAACAGCTTCCCCAAACCTTGAGGGCGGCCTTGGGGAACCATTTTCTGTTCCTACTTCTAGGTTCAGAACTCAGCTCTGTGCAACTTAGAGACAGGCCTGGCTGGAGAGTGTCTCTCCCAAGCCCACCTCTCCACACCATGCCTTTCCTTCCCTTAGTCCCCAGCACACACATTCAGTCCAGGATCCCTCGACTCTACTTCTCCAAGAAGGTCGGATTCATAGGATTGTGGGATTGATAAACTGAGAGAGCACTTGGAGCTTATCTTACCTCGGTCTTTTTCTGCTTCTGTGACTGTGGGCAAGTTACTTCCCTTGGCTTCAGTGTCCTCAACTCTAAAAGGAAGAGGTTGGACTTATTGGTACCCAAAGCTCTCTCTAGTCCTAGCCTTCTGCAGAGGAAATTAAGGCCAAGTCAATCAGTCGACAAGCATTTATTAAGTATCTACTGTATGCCAGGCACTAGACTAAGTGCTGAGAAGGTAGGAAGAAAAAAAGGAAGGAAGGAAGGGAAGGAGAAAAGGAAGGAAAGAAGAAAGAGGAGGGAGGAAACAATTATTTATTAAGGGCCTACTATGTGCCAGGCACTGTGCTAAGTGCTGGGGATATGCAGAAAGGCAAAAGACATTATGTCTTCACTAAGGAAAAGTGATATATGAAGTTGCACAGGTAGAATGTTTTCTCCTTGAAGGCAGGAATGGTTCTCCCTTTGTCTTTGTAGCCCATCCTCAGCACAGCGCATTGTACTTTCTTTCTTCTTTTTCTTTTTAGAGGGTGATGGTGGGGTCACCAGGCCTGTGATGTTACTTGCCCAGGGAAGAATATTCCTTCCATCAAGGCATGTGGGTGCTTCATCTGCAGCACATAGTGTAAGAGAGGCCCAGAGTGACCTGTCCAGGGTCCCTCACTGCACATCATCTGGGGCATCATCTGAGCCCAAAGCTGGGTGGACCACCACAGGGTGCCTCCTCCCTGGACCCTTCCCAGCAGAGGCTAGGTGACCTTGGGTTGGGAGTGGGATAGAAGGGATTCTTGTTTACAAGTGAGTCGAACTAGAAGGCTCTGAGATTTTGCTGCCGCCCTCCAGGACCTTCTAGTCTAGGTGAGGATGAAAGATGCAGTCAGCACTCATGGTCCTGTGGAATGGGCTGTCATCAGAGGCCATGGATTTCCACTCCCAAGTCATCCTGGCCACCTCGCTATCTCTTACTCTCCATATCCAATCTATGTTCAAAGCTTGTTCAATTCATCTTTTCCGGCACTTTCTGATTATGCCTCCTTCTCTCCTCTGACCCTCATCCTCCCTGCTGCAGACTCTCTTCACCTCACACTTGGGTCATTCCAATAGATGCTCTATCCTCGCCTCCATCTCATGGCTTCCCTGACTTCCTTCAAATACTAGCTAAAAGCCCACCTCCTACAGGAAGCCAATCCCATTCCCCCTTAAGTCTAGAGTCTTTCCTCTGTTGATTATCTCCAGTTCATACTGTAGGGATCTTGTCTGTACATATGTGTTTGCATGCTGTCATCCCCATTAGACTGTGAGTTCCTTGGGAACAGGGACTGTCTTTTGCCTTTCTTTGTAAGATAGTAGGTCCTGAATAAATGTTGACTGACTGACTGACCAAATGTCTCCTTCTTCTCTTTGTTCTTTCTTTTAGCATTTGGCTTGGTGACCAGAAGGGCATGTTCGCCCACATCCGACACTGTGTGTGGCTGCTCTTCAGGGTATTTCTGTTCCAACATGAAAGATGATGACTGTGAGATGTGTGTGACTCATCGAGTCTGCACCCCTGGCCAATACATGAAGTCTAGAGGTGAGCCTGCCCCATCTCCCATCCACCCAGGCACCCAGAACTATTGCTGCTTCAGGCTGCTGCCCTGGAAACCTAAGAAATGCCTAGCCCTCCCTCAGCTCAGACTGTCTCCCTAGAGGCAATTGTGGTACAGTGGGAAGATGGTTGTGTCTGGTATAAGAGAGCTTGAGTCCAAAACTTAGCTTTGCTCATACTGTCCATGTGATTCTGGCCTCTCTGGACCTCAGTTTCTTTATCTGTAAAATGAGAAGGTTGGATGATATGACCTCTGAGTTCTCTTCCTGATGGAAATTTATGAGTCCATGATCATGAAGTCTGGTTTCAGGTCCCCTGTCTTATCTCCATGGACCTCAGACAGCCTGGGGCAAATCTGGAATTAGGCAGGGCTAGGAAATCAACCAAAGCCTCCCTAGTGGTGTCCTCCTCCAATGTGCTTTGGTGGCACAAAGTGACCAACTCTTTGTTTTGTCTTTTTAAATGAAATATTTTTAATTGACAAAAACCTATCCTTTCATTTCTACCTTTCCTCCCCAAGTGGAAAAGAAAAAGAACAACAGAAACCTTTACAGCAAATTTTATGTGCGGTCAAACAAAACACATTCATGCATTGGCCATATCCAAAGAGAATATTTGTCTCCATCAGCACCTTGAGTCCTTCATCAGGAGGTGGGGGGGCATGTTTAAGCATGAGTCCTCTGGAATTGTAGTTGATTATTCCATTGATCTGTGTTCTGGAGTCTTTTTAACTTGTTTGTCTTAACAATGTGATTGTTACTATGTAAGTTCATACAAGTTTTCCCATGTTTCACTGAAATCATCCATTTTATCATTTCTTATGGTGCAACAGTATTCCCTTACATTCATGTACCATAATTTGTTCAGCTAGTAGTGGTATCAGTGGGTCAAAAAAGATGCAGAACTTAATAGCTTTTGAGATGTCGCTCCAAATTACTTTTCTAGACTTCTTCTGGACTGGTTCACAGCTTCACCCACAGTATATATTTGCCATTTTCCTTTTCTGTCAGCCTTCTCAATCTGATGGGTATGAGGGGGAACTTTGAATTTGCTTTAATTTGTGTTTCTCTAATTAGAGATTTAGAGCATTTAAAAAATATGGCTATTTATAGCTTAGATTTCTTCCTTTGAAAACTGCTTATTCCTATCCTTTGACCATTTATCATTTAGAGAATGGCTCTTATTCTTGTATATTTGAATCAGTTCTGTGTATATCTTGGAAATGAGACTTTCATCAGAGAAACTTGCTGCAAAGATTTCCCACCCCCACCCCCATCCCCAGTTACCTGTTTCCCTTCTAATTTTAACTGTTTGGTTTTGTTTGTGTAAAACCTTTTAAATTTTATATAATTGTAACTGTCCACTTTATCTTCTGTGATCATCCTTCTCCCTTGTTTAGTCAGAAACTCTTTCCCTGTCCACAGATATAATTGGCAATTTCTTCATTGCCCCTTTTCTTAGTTTATCATGTGTCCCTACATTCTTGTGATCCCCAGGGCAGCTCGGTGGCGCAGTAGATAGAGCACCGGCCCTGGATTCATGAGGACCTGAGTTCAAATTCAACCTCAGACACATAACACTTACTAGCTATGTGACCCTGGGCAAGTCACTTAAGCCCATTGCCTAGCGCCCCCCCTAAAAAAAAGTGATACCCAAATAGTTCAAATTCTAGCAAATACTACTAAGTTGGAGGTATAATTAATATTATTTCACTTGACTAAAACAAGGATAAGTATAGCATCTGCTATGTGTCAGACAGTGTGCTAAATGCTTTATAAATGATATTTCATTTGATCCTTGCAACAGCCCTAGGAGACAGATTCTATCCTTATCCTCTTTTGGATTGCCTGGAAAAGTTCATCAGTATTGTATGCAGTCCATCATGGCATGCTTGCCTGGGTTCTGTATAATAGACAAAGTTCTTGTGCTTTCCCAGTCACCAATGGAGTGAAACAGGGCCATGTGCTTGCTCCCATGCTTTTTTAGCATGATGTTTTGAGCCATGTTGTCAGAAAACTTCAACAAGAATGAAAATGGCATCCAAGTCAGCTACTGCACTGATGGTAAATTATTTAATCTGAAAGGACTACAAGCCCAGACTAAAGTTGAGGGAGAGTTGGTCCGTGACTTTTTGTTTACAGATGATTGTATACTCACTGGAGGCTCTGAAGCTGAGATGCAACAAAGTATGGATCAATTCTCTGCTGCTTGTGCTAATTTTGGCCTAACAATTAACATAAAGAAAACACAGGTGCTCCACCAGCCAGCACCACACCATCCGTAAGTGGAACCATCAGTTACAGCAAATGGAGAAATTTTGAATGCTGTGGATAAGTTCACTTACTTTGGCAGTATGCTTTCCAGGGATGTACACATTGATAATGAGGTTGACACACGCATTGCCAGAGCTAGCTCAGTGTCTGGGAGGCTCTGAAGGGAAGTGTGGGAGAGAAGAGGTATTAGACTGACTACCAAACTGAAGGTCAGCAGAGCCGTTGTGCTGACCTCAATGTTGTATGCCTGTGAAACCTGGATGGTATACCAGAGCCATGCCAGGAACCTGAATCTCTTCCATTTGAATTATCTTAAGATGATTCTGAAGATCACCTGGCAGGATAAATATCAGACACTGAGGTCCTTTCTCAAGCTAAACTGTCAAGCATTCAGTGTTTATTGTAGAGAACCCAGCTTTCCAATGGGCTGGCCATGCTGTTCAAATGTCAAACATAAGACGGTCTAAAAGACTCTTTTACAGAGAACTCACACAAGGCAAGTGCTCACACAGAGGTCAGAAGAAGCAATACAAGGATACTCTCAAGGTCTCTCTGAAGAGTATTTGGACTTGATTTCATAATATGAGAAACTCTGTCAAAGGACCTCCCAGCATGGCATGCTCACATCAAAAGCCCCGAGCTCCACAAATGAAGTAGAATTTTAGTAGTTCAAAAGAAAGGTGAGATGAGCAAATTAGGGACATCTCCACTCCAGTTGTTCATATGGACTGTGGTAGAGCCTTCTGAACTCCTACTGGTCTGATCAGCCTCAGTTGGACACACTGTACCTTGACCCCAACAGAGTGGTGTCATTTTGGTCTTCTTCAAGAACAAAGGATAACAAGAAACCAATCATACTTCATCCTGAATCTCCAGTTTCTTTGTAGAAGTGGGTGGTTGTGGGTATGGAACATTACACATAACATTTCCCTATTTTTGATAGGTTGATTAGTTTGCTGAACTACTTTCTCCTTTTTTAAAAGATTCTGCGTTATAAGAGATGGCTCTCCAGGTAAGATAAGGCCATAAGGTGTATGCTGGAGTCAGCCTGAACTGCTCTCTCAAGAGCTGATTGTTAAATTTTCAATGTGAGGATTGGCACTTCAGAAATGGGGAAATAGTATAAATCAGGGCTTAATTTATTGCTTTGTTAATTGCTTAGATTTAAGAAAGTGATGGATAAAATGTTAATAATGTCCATTAAACAGTAAAAACATAAAAACATGCCCTATGTTCCTTATTTTCTATCCCAGAGAGTTGGTTGTTAAAAATTTACTAAAAAGGGGAAGGAAACTTTGGGTAATGTAGGTGATGTAAAAAATGAAATATATTAAAAAATACGTTTCTTGCCACAGACCTGGGAGTATTTCATAGAGTTGTTCTCAATACTCTTTACTCTGACAAAGAGCTTCCAGGGAAGGGACCAAATAATCCAGGGACACTGTTCTAGCCATCATGTTTTGCTATAATCCTATTACTACGCTCAGCACCAAATCTCCCATGTCTCCTTCTCTTTTAGGCACAGAGAGAAACAACACCATCTGTAAAGAGTGCCAGGCAGGGACATTTTCCCCCAATGGGACCCTTAGCCAGTGTCTGCCGTGGACCAAGTAAGTATATCACACTGTCTGGAACTCGGTGGTTCATTCTTTTTGCTAGTTCATTTAGAGTGTTTTAAACAAAAATTCTGACTTTAACAAACACCAAATAAAACAAGTGTTTCCATATACAAAGCAATAAAAGAAAGAAGTCAACAAAAGGGGTGGGAGTGGGGTGCAGCTAAGTATTTAACAGCTAGATCTCTGAAAAATAAATATACACAAGAGACACTTTTCAGTTTATTCTGCATCAGCAACATTTTTTTTTGTCATTTTCTTAAGTCTAGACATTCAACAAAATAACAAATCAAGCCCTCATTTGTAACATTTGCCAATTTCAGAGGCATGAATGCTCCCCCTGAAATTTAACAATTGACTTATGGATTGAGCTGATTCCAGCACACCTCTGAATGTACAGCAAACTATGAATCTCTATTCTAAACAGCTTTCATTTCCTCCTAGGCATAAAAGAAATTGAACATGTGCTTTCAAAGTTGTTCTCCTTGTCTACTCTTCCTTCTGGTCTTCCTTGTACTGAATAGCTGCTGTTGTTATGGTTTTTCCCTGAAACTGAACTAAAACCTGCCTCTCTGTGTCTTCTCTCCATCACTCCAGGTTCTACCCTCTGGGGCCAAGCTGAGTGAGTTTACTTCTCTTCCACTTAACATCTCTTTAAATACTTGAGGCAACCTTTGAGGCCCTCAAAGCCATCTTTCAATAGCTTCTCACAAGCATGGTTTGGAGCCCTGGTTGCCCCAGTAGCATGAAAAAGGCTTTGGAGTCAAGAGAATGTTGTGAGGGCTATCCTGTTCTTGGGCCAGGGAGATAATATTTAAAAAGCGCTGGCCCGTGGGAGATGCTACATAAATGTTAGCTGCTATTATCAGTAATTTGAATTCTTTGTGCCTGGTTTTCCTCATTTATAAATGAGGAATCCCCTGAATTCCCTTCCAGCCCAGAATCTATGAGCCTATTGTGCCCTCTTGTGGAATCTCTCCAGCTAACTGAGGAACTTTCCAAAATGGGACCCTGAACACAATTCTTCAGATGTGCACTGGCCAGGACAGTGTCCATGGGACAGATATTACAGCAGTTCCTTTATTCTAAACTCGCCAATGTGGTCTAAGGCTAAACTTGTATGGCTGGTTTTCTAATTGCGCTGCTGACTCTCAGGGAGTGTTCAGGGTGCTCACACTCTAGGACCTTTTCCTGGATTATTACCTAGTCCCATCTCCTTCTTAGGATGGTGGCATGGTAGAATGGAAAAGGCACTGGCTCTGGAGCCAAAGGAATAGGGTTCAGATCCTGCCTCGATTGTTCGCTTCTTTTGTAACCATGGATAAATCATTTTGATTCTCTGGACCTCAGTTTCCTTATCTTCAAAATTAGGGGATTGCAATGGGTAGCTTCTGATGTCCCTTTTAATAATAATAGTAATAATAATAATAAATGGGCAGCTGGGTGGCACAGTAGATAGAGTGTTGGGTGTGGAGTCAGGAGGACTCATCTTTCTGAATTCAAATCTGTTTTATTTATTTATTTATTTATTTTTTTACTTTGGCGATCGGGATTAACTGACTTGCCCAGGGTCACACAGCTAGCTGAGTTCAAATCTGGCCTCAGACATTTACTAGCTGTTTGACCCTGGGCAAATCACTTCATCCTGTTTGCCTCAGTTTCCTCATCTGTAAAATGAGCTAGGGAAGGACATACAAACCACTTCAGTATCTTCACCAAGAAAAGCCCAAATGGGGTCACAAAGAGTTGGACATAACTGAAATGATTGAAAAAAAAAACACAACAATTAATAAATTAATACTTAAGTAAAAATAATGATTACTATTGAAAGAGACATTGAGAGAAGAGATACTAGGCTAGAATTATGTCTTTCTGCTCCCTTAAATGTTATTAGTTTAGGGAATATCATTATATTCAAACTAACTTCTGATCACTTTGTCATTTTTTCAGCAGGAAGGAGAACCCCAGTAGTAATGAAATTAATGTAGTCTTAGAGACCCCAACTGGGGAGAGAGAGAGAAGCCTCTACATGGAGCTGAGGCCCACCGGTGGTATGGGCTGTCATGTGGCTCACAGAAAGGAAGACTAGAGATCTCTAGCCTTTCTCCCACCTGCCCTTGTTTAAGGAAGATTTTAGTTCCTGCCAGAGCAGGAGCAGGAAGTTGGGCGAGAGGCCACCTTGTTCTTCTCAGAGAGCTGGGGTATCAGGCTAGAATTATAACTATCTGTTCCTTTAAATATTATTAGTCTAGCTAGGGGATATGACCAGGTTCAGTCTAATTTCTGATCACTTTGGGAAAAAGGAAGCGAAACCCCAAGTCTCTCTTCAAAGCTTAATCCCTCTCCCACCTAATATCAATTCCACAATGAACACACCTCACAGAAAGCAAAGACACCCACTTATCTAAATTGTAGCAAAAGGGAGACCAGAGGACATATACATAGAATATACACCAGATAATACAGAGCGAAGTAGCTTTTCCATCAGGAGTGGATAACCCAGTTGACCAAAAGAGGGTTCTAGATCTCACCCGAAGACAAACTCCCCCAAGTCTCTGGTCTAGCAAGCTGGGGGGAGGACGCAATGGAGGCTGCTGGCTCCTCTCATGGTTCACAGAGTCTTTTCTTCAGCAACCTGAATTGGGGTTGGTCTCTTCCATGTTCCCTCTTGAAGTTGGAAGCCAGAAGTAATTTGATGCTTGAAGAGTCCCCCCAAAAGACTTGAGGCTGAGGAGTCCTGGAAAGGATTGATTAAGACTGGAGTCCTCCCACCAACTCTGCCCAGCCAACTCCTGCAGGGCAGGGCATTCGTCTCCACCAATAAGGAGAGCGTCTCATACCAATGGGCATTGGGACAGGAGTTACAATCACAGCAACAGCAACAGCGAATATTTACGTAGCACTTTCTAGGTGCTGTCTCCTTTGAGCCTCAGAACAACACTAGGCAGTGGATACTATTATTAGCCTCATTTTACAGATGAGGAAACTGAGGCAAACAGGGGTTATGCGACTTTCTCAAGATCACATAGCTAGGAACCGTCTAAATTAAGATGGGAATTCCCATGTTCCTGACTCTCGGTCCAGCACTCTGTCCACTGGTGTCCACTGGACCACCTATTTATCTCTGGCTCTATGATCTTTTTGAGTTGATTTTTTAAGCCTCATTGGAAGACATTGATTCATTCAGTGCTATTATTTCTCATCTTACTCTTAGCTCAGGCAGTGGGAGATACAGGACTTGCCTTGGAATCTGGAAGCCTCAAGTTCTGTCTCCTAGACATAGTAAGTTGTGTCTCACAGGCAAGTCACACCCTCAGTGCCCTAGCCAGCAATCTAAGGCTCTCAGTTCCTGACAAGTCCTGCATGAGGGGAAGGCATTTCCTACCAGGCAATTCCCCACACTGATGAAATTGCAGTTCTGGGCCCCTCAAAAAAAAAAAAAAGAGAAAAAACCCAACAACCTTGTGTTATGGTTCTAATTTGTTTAAATCTTTTTGGACCCTGCCTCTGGGCACACTGGCTTTCCACGCAATCCAACGTGTGTGCCCTCCCTCTGGGCTTTGTGTTGTCTACAAGCTGGAGAGATGTGTGCTTCTGTCTTTACCTACTTCTATCCCTCTAGTTGGGATACTCTGTCTCTCTTTCTGTAAGTTTCTTTGGCTGCAGAGTTGCATGGCAGACTGCAACTGGGGGAGGATTTGGGTCACTTGGTTTCGCTGGGCTGATGAAAGTGAATTCATATTCAATGACCCATGTTCTTGTCTATCTTCCTAGTTGTACTGCCCAGAGTTTATCTGAAGAAAAGCCGGGCACCAACACCACGGATGCATTGTGCTCAGTGCAGAGTAAACCTCACTTCACATTAATTGTTATCATCATCCTCATCATCATTATCATCCCCGTCATCATTTGGATGGTATTTCTTAGAAGGAAAAAAAAAAATAGAGAAAGAAGTAAGTAGGGACATAAAGAGGGAGGAGAGGTGGGGACATTGCCCTAAGACATTGACCAAAATTGGAGTCCTTTAGGATTGTAGGAACAGTATCTCTCAGTACCTAAATCATATGTTCATTCAGTGAATCTAGGGAAATGTCAGCTGGAAGGCAGAGGAGTGCTTCCCCCTGTCCCCCTCCTTCCTCCTTCCTCTTCCCTACCTTTTCCCACTTAAGTGAGGACGGGCTTGACTCAGGTTCAGTCCGTGGTACTTGCCCCCAGGCACAGACATTCCTAGTTATATTTCTGCTGCTAATCACTAGCCTGTTAAATTCACACAAAGTCAATCTAAAAGAGATTTCTTATCACCACAACTTTGTGAAGTGAACTTGGAAAACATTCCTTTCTCCAAAAGGAGGTAAGGATTGTCAGCAGAGAAAGATATAAAATAGATAAGTAGATAGCTAGCTAGCTGGCTAGATGCCTGGCTGGATAAAAAGATGGATGGATGGATTGAAATATTGAAAGATGCTGGATAAAATGCTAGATGGATGGAAGAATTTGACCCAGAAATCTCACTATTAGGTCTGTTTCCCAAGGTGATCAGGAGAAAAGGAAGAGAACCTATATGTCCTAAAATATTCATAGCAGATCTCTTTGTGGTGGCAAACAACTGGAAATTGGGGGAATGCCCATCAACTGGGGAATGGCTGAACAAGTTGTGGTACATGATTGTGATGGAGTACCACTGTGCTGCAAGAAAAGATCAGCTGGTTGATTTTAGAAAAACAAGGAAAGACTTGCATAAATCAATGAAAAGAGAAGTGAGCAGAACCAGGACAATGTCATATACAATAACAGAAGTATTATTTGAAGAATAACTGTGAAGGATCTAGTTATTCTGATTATTATAAACACTCAAATCTACTATAAAGAACCTAGGAAGGAAGATGCTATGTCCCTCTAAGGAAAGAACTGATGAATAGAAATATGCATAGGATGGTTTTACATATATTTATAGATCTATGTCAAATGATTTCCTTCTCTTGTGTAGGATGGGGAGGACAGAGGGAGATAGTTTGGAACTTAAAATGTAACAAAAGTTATAATTAACATTAAATTAAAAAGATACATGGAAGGAAGGATAGAGAGATGACAGAGAAAATGATGGTTGGAAGGATGATTGAATGAAAGGAGGAATGGGTAAATGGATAGACAGATAGATAGATGGGTAATGGAAGGATAGATTATAGATGGAAATATAGATGGATAGACAGATAGATGGATAGATGAATAGGTAGGTTATAAATAGATAAAGCATTTATTAAACACTTACTATATTCCAGGAACTATGCACTTTAATATATGCTACACATGTCAAATCAACTCAAGTAGCATTTATTAAGCACATACTATGTGCCAGGCACTGTGCTAGTCACATATACATACCCAAAGCAAGTTAATTCAGCTACTGAATTTATCTCAGGAACCATTTATCAATTGCCTACTACGTGCAGAGCATTGTGCTCAGAAGGCAAAGTGAATGCAGAGTTCAATTCAATAAACATTCATTAAGCTCCTCCTCTGTACAGTACAGTAAACAACAGTACAACAGTAAAACAGCTCCCATTTTCAAGCAGCCTACTGGCTGGTGGGGGTAGTGGAATTCCCCATGGACATAGAGAAGCAGACTGTATGTACAAGATCCTGTTTTGGCAGGAGCGAGGGACAAGAACACATCAGAAATGAGAGTTCCTCACAGGTAAGGGCTCTCTCCCTTTTGTCTTGGTCTCTAGAGTACCTAGCATGGTTCCTGGTATAGGGTAGGTGCTTAATAAATGTTTTGTACATTGATTGATGCAGTCTTTGCCCTCATGGAGCCCACAGAAGCTGAAAAAGTTCCTTGTAGCTATCAAAGTCAATACTTTGGTGACTTCAAATTTAGAAACGGGTGTGTGTCCCTGATTGATGTGGGACTTTCAGATGTTGGTTACACAAATAAATTATATAACACACTGGCCCTCTGCCCAGGCTGAGTCTAGATGGAACAGAACCATGGGAACCCTACCCTGTGGAGTTGGGCATGTGTATTTAGGAATATAGAGAAGGGGGATGGAATAGAGCAGAAGTGCTACGGCCAGATCCATAGAACAAGGCTCAGGGAATGACTGGTGAGGAAACTAAGGGTCTTCCTGGCCTGGGCATCAGAGCCCTGGAAAGCCCCAGAAGGGAGCGCATTCTACAGAGGGTCAGTGGCTGTGGGACCTCAGAAAGGTCACTTCCATTTCTAAGCTTCATGGGATCACAATGTGGCTGTAGGCTCAAAGATTTAGGCTGGAAACGATTGAGAGACCTTTCAGTTAGATCTATTCGTTTTACAGAGAAGGAACATGAAGTCTAGAGCCACTAAGTGACAGCTAGGTGGAGGAGTGGAGAGAGCACCAGGCCTGGAGTCAGGAAGATCTGAGTTCAAATCCAGCCTCAGATATTTGCTAGCTGTGTGACCCTGGGCAAATCACTTAATCTTGTTTGCCTCAGTTTCCTCATCTCTAAGATAAACTGGAAAAGGGAATGGCAAACCACTCAAGTATCTTTGCCAGGAAAATCCCAAATAGGGTCACAAAGAGTCAGATGTAACTGAAAATGACTGAACAACAACAAAATATGCCAGGGCACATGCTGAATTCAGGGATACAAGAACCCTCCATCCCTGCCCTCAAAGAGCTACCATTCTAATGAGGCATGCGACAGGCAGACCACCATGTATATATACAATACATTTAGTGGTAAATGAGAGGTTCTTTCAGAGGGAAGGCATTTGCTTTAAGGGGGATCAGGAAAGACCTCCTGGAGAAGGTGGAATGTGAGCCTTCTTACATGAAGGCAGAGGGGAGGGGGGCAGCATTCCAGTATGGGCAGCAGCTGGGGAAAAGACATTCCTTGTGTTCCCTGTTGGAATATAAGACCTTGAGTGAAGATATTGTTTTATTATTGTACTTCTAACCCTAGAACCTCGCACTGTGCCTGGCATATATCAGGCACTTAATAAGCTCATGTTTATTGATTGACTACCCAAAGTCACTAGATGGTATCAGAGGCACTATATGAACCAGGTCTTTTTGATCCTGAGCCCAGGGCTCTATTCACTGCACCCCATATAGATGTTTCTGTAATTCTATTTATCCATTCATTATATGTCTGAAAAATGTTATTTATCCTGCTTCCTGACACTCACCTTCTTTGCATTTCAGCTTATGACATAAAAGGAAGGGTGAGTAACTTTTGCCAAATCTATGGATTGATCAGTTGGGTTGACTGACCCGACATCTTTCTGCTATGTGGCTGCCTGGGGGTCCCCCACTCTTCTAGCTGAGAACACCACTTCTATATATCTTTGGTCTATGACAGCAAGCCCTGAATGGATCAGCTCGGCCAGTGATTTCTAAGTCTATCATTCCATTTAATAGGAGACACCCTTCCATAAAACACACAAGGATTCCAGACACCCCATTTTAGGAAGGACGTTGATAAGAGAGGAAGGCAGCCTGGATGGTGATGGGCCTCATACTCCTACCATATGAGAACTGAATGAAAGATCTGGGTGTGTTTAGTCTGGAGCAGGGAGGGAGCAAAAGGGACACACGATAGGTGACTTCAGATTGTTCCTTAGAAGATTTTCTTGTTCTGTTTGGCCCCAGAGGGGAGACCCAGCACCAATGGGTGGGAGTCACAAAGAGGGTCACCTACGATCAGGCTGAAAGTCAGGACAAGCTTCCTAAGCATTCGAGCTGTCGTCAAGTAGAACCTCTTGTCTCAGGAGGGAGCTGGTTCTTCTTCCTGGATGTCTTCAAATGGAGGCTGGAGAAGTGAGCTCTGGGGAGCTGAGAGAGAGAGTTCTTGCTCAGGTTTGGATGGGGTCATTGCCTCTGAGGCCCCTTCCTGCTCTACATCTATGACCCTATGATAGGGAAAAGCCATGGGAAGTCCTAGAAATGAGGGGTTGTATGTAAGGTTGTTTGATCTTGGATAGATCACTTTCTTTTTCTGAGTTTCAGAATGCTCCTGTGATACGTAAGGGCTGGGTCAGTGATTGCAGTTATCCCTTCCACATGTGGGGTTTAGGGGTGTGACGCCCCAGTGATCTGGAAAATTTGTGTAAAATTTTTTGGCCTTCCCTTTGTACCATCAAGGAAGTCTGAATTTCAGTGACAAAATATGTTGATCTTATATAATATTATACAGATATTTTATGCATTTCTGAGTTTCTAAACATTTTCTGTGTTCTTTGCTGACCTTCCGTGTAGCCTGCGGCTTCTGCAAAACTCCTCAAAAATTCCCATTTAATTTCTCATGCCAACCTGCAACAAATCAAATCACAATGGAGAAAGCTGAGATGTGGAAGGGATAACTGTATTTAAACACACACACACACACACACACATACACACACACAGAAACTTCCCTGAAAAAATTGGAACAGTCTCAAACTGACTTCTTCTTACTTCTCCATCTGTACTTGCCTATGTTGCAGGCTGAAGCGTCAGACCCTGATAAGATCTGTGATCTCCTCGAGGCTGATGTGTCAGTCATCAACTTGCCTGTGCAAGAGACCAGACAACAGGAAGAATCAGATGGAATAAGTAGAATAAGGTCCAAGAGTCAGGACAGTCGGGAATCTTGATGATGTTCTTGGGAGTGCAGTGAAACGCCAAGGCCAAGTCATACTCTCTGTCTGCCATTGGGACAAAGCTCGTCTCCAGCAATGGAGGCCATCACCTGCTTGTACCTCCTCCTAGTTCTGTAGCAAAAAGTATTCCAGATGGCAAGGGATATCTAAGGGAGACCAAAAGTTTCACCAGCAACTTCCAATTTTAATGTCCTGTCCCAGAGTGGAGCATGTTAGAAGAGGCAACAGAGCCCGAGTTCTGAAAGGTTAGATGAGCTGTGAGTGTAGGCCTGATATGAACAGTCTGTTTTCTAAGGACCAATACAAAGAAGGTGGCTGGCCACCTGGTGGTTAATATAAAGTTATTTTGTATGTATTATGGATATATTTATTTTTGTTGTTACTATTTAATTATTCAGTCACGTTCTACTCTTTGCGACCCCATTTGGGATTTTTTTGGCAAAGATACTGGAGGATGGAGGAAAATACACAACAAAACACCAAACAATTGTAGCTTAGAATGTGAATGGGACAAATTTACCCATAAAATGGAATAGATAGCAGATTAAAAATCTGAATTCAGCAATATGATGGTTTTAGGAAACATTATAAAAATGAGAAATACCCAGAAAGGCAAAATAAAGGGCACCTATCAGATTGGCTATGACAGACAAGGGAAATGATGACTGTTGAAGAATATGTGGGATCTTTTCCAACTTGCCTCGGCAGCAGCCACAGGTACAACAGTAGCAGCATGTCCCACAGCAAGTTCTCTGCTCCCAGGCATGGGTCTCTGGGCTTCCTGCCTTGAAAGAGAAGCAGCCGGCAGTGGGGAATGGTGAAGAATTCCCCAAGGATGATCCCACCGAGCCCTTCCACCTGACAGCCTTCCTGGGATACAAGGAAGGCATGACCATATTGTTGGAGAGTTGGACAGGTCTGGCTCAAAGAAGGAAGTGGTCAGGGCTGTCACCCTCAAGGAGACGCCTCCCATGGTCATTGTAGGCATTGTGGGCTACGTGCAAACCCCATGAGGCCTGTGGATCTTCAAAATCATTTTTGCTGAGCACACCAGAGGCGATTCTATGAGAGCTGGCATAAATCCAAGAAGAAGGCCTTTACCAAGCCCTGCAAGAAGTGGCAAGATGATGACGGCAAGAAGCAGCTGGAGAAAGACTTCAGCAGCATGAAGAGGTACTGCCAGGTGATCCATGTCATTGTCCACACCCAGATGTGCCTGCTCCTGCCGAGGCAAAAGAAGTCTCACCTGATGGATGTCCAGGTGAATGGAAGCAGTGTGGCTAAGGAACTGGGCTGGGCCCGTGAGAAGCTGGAGAAGCAGGTGCCCGTGTCCACCGTGTTTGGGAAGGACGAGATGATTGATGTCATTGGAGTGACCAAGGGCAAAGGTTACAAACGTGTCACCAGCCTCTGGCACACAAAGACACTGCCCCGAAAAAGCCACTGAGGCCTGCGTAAGGTGGTGGGTATTGGAGCTTGGCAGCCTTCTCTGTGGCTCAAGCTGATCAGAAGGGCTACCACCACCACACTGATATCAACAAAAAGATCTACAAGATTGGCCAGGGCTACCAGATCCAGAATGGCAAGCTAATCAGAAACAACACGTCCACCAATTATGATCTGTCCGACAAGACCATCAGCCCTCTGGGAGGCTTTGTGTACTACGGTGAAGTGACCAATGACTATCATGCTGAAAGGCTGTGTTGTTGGGACCAAGAAGCGTGTCCTCACCCTGCAAAAATCTCTGCTGGTACAGACCAAACATTGCGTCCTAGAGAAGATCGACCTGAAGTTTATTGATGCCACCTCCAAATCTGGCCATGGTTGGTTCCGGACTGTGGAGGAGAAGAAGACTTTCATGGGACTGCTAAAAAAAAGAGTCATGATGGAAACTGCCATCCACATCCAAAGAAAGGTCTGGTGGAGTCTGAATGCAAATCAAAGCATACTATTTTTACTTTATATTTTCTTGCATATTTTTTCCTTTTGTTTTGTTTCATCTTTCACAGCATGACTAATATGGAAATATGTTTTATATGATTGCACACATATAACCTACATCAAATTGCTTACCATCTTAGGGAGGGAGGAGGGGAGGGAGAAAATTTGGAACTCAAAATTTTATATAAAAAATGAACGCTAAAATTATCTTTACATGAAAAAATAAAATACCATTTAAAAGAAAAAAGAAAAATCATATTAACTAACACTTTATCTTTTTTTTTTATAAAACCAACCTCTAGTTTTATTTATTAATTCAATGGTTTTCTTACCCTCAATTTTATTAATCTCACCTTTAATTTTTAGGATGTCCAAGTTAGTGTTTAATTGGGGATTTTTAATCTATTCTTTTTCTAGTTCTTTTTTAGTTGTGTATCCAAGTCATTGGTCTGCTCTTTCTCTATTTTATTGATATAAACATTTAGAGATAAAAATTTTCCTCTGATTAATGCTTTTGCTATGTCCTCTGGGCTTTGGAATATTGTCTCATTATGGCCATTCTTTTTAATAAAATTATTGTTTTTTTAATTTGTTCTTTAACTCACTCATTCTTTAAGATTAGGTTGTTTAGTTTCCAGTTAGTTTTTATTCTGTATTTCCCTGGTCCCTTATTAAATATAATTTTTTATTGCATTGTGATCTGAAAAGGATGCATTTAATACTTCTTTTTGCTTTTAATTATAAAATTTTATGTTCTAATGTGTGATCAGCTTTTGCAAAAGTTCCATGTACAACTGAGAAAAAGGTATGTTCTTTTCTATTCCCATGCAATTCTCTTTAGATTTCAATCAGATCTAGCTTACCTAAAATTTTATTCACTTTATTGATTTTATTTTTATTTTTTGCTTAGATTTATCTAGTTCTGAGAGGGAAAGATTAAAGTTTTACACTATTATAATACTTTATTATAGTACTATGTATTTCCATCTACCTCATTTAACTTTTTTTTCAGAAATTTAGACACTATAGTATTTGGTGCATATAGGTTTAGTATTGACATTGCTTTATTGTTTATGGCACCTTTTATTATAATGTACTTTCCCTGTTTAGCTCTTTTAATTAAATCTGTTTTAACTTTAATTTTATCTGAGAATATGGTTGCTACCCTTGTTTTGTTTTGTTTTTTCATCACTTGAAGCACAGTAAATTCTACTCTGGCCCTTTATTTTAACTCTGTGTGTATCTCTCTCTCTTTTATTTGTTGTTGTTGTTGTTGTTGTTTTTGTTGTTGCCAGCAGGTTCCCCTTCCCTGGGGATTTTTTTTTTGTTTTTTATTTCTTTTTTCTTTGTTTCTTTTTTTATTTTATAAATAATTTATTAACATGTGTTTTTAAAACTTTGGGTTCCAAATTTTCTCCCTTCCTCCCTCCCCACCCACCCTCATTGAAAAGGCAAGCAATTTGATACAGGTTATAGAGGTATAGTCATGCAAAACACTTCCACAGTAGTCATGTTGTGAAAAATTAAGTATATTTCCCTTCATCCTATCCTACCCCCCATTTATTCTATTCTCTCTTTTGACCCTGACCCTCCTCAGAAGTGTTTGCTTGTGATTATCCCCTCTCCCAATCTGCCTTCCCCTCTATCATCCCCCTGCTCTCTTGTCCTCTTTCCCCCTTATTTTCCTGTAAGGTAATATAGATTTCCATACCCAATTGTGTATGTTATTCCCTCCTTAAGCCAAATCTTATGAGAATAAGAGTCACTCATTCCCTCTCACCTTCCCCTGTTTCCCCTCCACTGTAAAAGCCTTTTCTTGTCTGTTTCATGTGAGATAATTTGCCCCATTCTATCTCTCCCTTTCTCCTTCTCCCAGTATAATCTCTCACCCCTTAATTTTATTCTCTAGATATGACCCCTTCATCTTCAACTCACCCTGTGCCCTCTATCTATCTATCTATCTATCTATCTATCTATCTATCTATCTATCTATCTATCTATCCATCTATCTATCTATCTGTAAATGTAATTTTTTTCCCTCCTACTACTCTAATACTGACAAAGGATCATGAGTTACAAATATCATCTTTCCATGCAGGAATGTAAACAGTTCAAATGTAATAAGTCTCTTATGATTTTTCTTTCCTGTTTAACTCTTCATGTTTCACTTGAGTCTTGTATTTGAATGTCAAATTTTCTATTCAGCTTTGGTCTTTTCATCAAGAATGCTTGAAAGCCCCTTATTTCACTGAATGACCATTTTTTTCCTGAAGGATTATACTCAGTTTTGCTGGGTAGGTGATTCTTGGTTGTAATCCTATCTTCTTTGCCCTCTGGAATATTATATTCCATGCCCTCCGGTCCCTTAGTGAATAAGCTGTTAAATCTTGTGTCATCCTGATTGTGTTTCCCACAGTACTTGAATTGTTCCTTTCTGGCTGCTTGTAATGGTTTCTCCTTGACCTGGGAATTCTGGAATTTGGCTACAATATTCCTAGGAGTTTTCCTTTGGGGATCTCTTTCAGGAGGTGATTGGTGGATTCTTTCAATTTCTATTTTGCCCTTTGGTTCTAAAATATCAGGGCAGTTTTCCTTGATAATTTCTTGAAAGATGATGTCTAGGCTCTTTTTTTGATCATGGCTTTCAGATAGTCCAATAATTTTTAAATTCTCTCTCGTGGATCTATTTTCCAGGTCAGTTGCTTTTCTAATGAGACATTTCACATTCTCTTCTATTTTTTCATTCTTTTGGATTAGTTTTACAATGCCTTGATTTCTCATTTAGTCACTAGCTTACAATTGCTCCATTCTAATTTTTAAGGAAGTATCTTCTTCAGTAAGCTTTTGGACTTCCTTTTCCATTTGGCCGATTTTGTTTTTTAGGGCATTCTTCTCCTCATTGGCTTTTTGCACCTCTTTTGCTATTTGGGTTAGGCTATTTTCTAAGGTGTTATTTTCTTCAGTATTTTTTTGGGTCTCCTTTAGCAAGCTGTTGACTTGTTTTTCATGATTTTCTTGCATCACTCTCAGTTTTTCCTCTACTTCTCTTACTTGCATCTCAAAATCCTTTTTGAGCTCTTCCATGGCCTGGGACCAATTCATATTTTTCTTGGAGGCTTTGGATGTAGGAGCTTTGGCTTTGTTGTCTTCTTCTGGTTGTGTTTTGATCTTCTTTGTCATCAGAGTAAGATAATATAGTCTGACTCTTTTTGTGTTGCTTGCTCATGATCCTGGCCAATTACTTGAGTTACAAACTCTTTGTTAAGGTACGGGTCTGTTTCCAGTGTGGAGAATGTACTGTCCCAAGCTTCAGGGGTTTTGTGCAGCTGTTTTCAGAGATACTTCTAGGGACCTGTAAATTTTCAGTTCTTCCAAGGTGCTATGATCAAGGGCAAGGTGTTTACTCCTTTCCTG